TTTCCGTATTTATGTTCCTCTTGCACTGGAATGCCGCATCCCCTCGCCCATCCAGCAAGCACTGACTCATGCTAAAAGATGTGGTTCAGTCCTCAGGGAGAGCTCCAACCCCAAAGCCTGTGCTTCATCCACGTGCTCTTGGTAATTATCATATTACCTGGTACCTGGTACCACTTCTATCCCCCTAAGGAAGAATTAACCACAGCCTGTATGATTCCTCACTCTTCCGCTGTCTCGGGTTCGTCTTCGCAGTCAGATTATAACAATAATCACTGGGCCGGGTGCGGTGGCTCAGGCCTGTAATCCCAGCACTTTGGGTGGCCGAATCACCTGAGGTCAGGAGATCGAGATCAGCCTGGCCGACAGGGCGAAACCCTGTCTCTACTAAAAATACAAAAATCAGCCAGGCTCAGTGGCAGGCACCTGTGGTCCCAGCTACTCAGGAGGCTGAGGCAAGAGAATCGCTTGAACCCAGGAGGCGGAGGTTGCAATGAGTCAAGATTGTGCCATTGCACTCCAGCCTGGACGACAGAGTGAGACTGTCTCAAAACAAACAAACAACAACAACAAAAAAAAACCAATAATCACTGAACTAGCGCTTCACAGTTTACAAAACGCCTACATGAATATTGTTTGATTTAATCCCCACAATCAATCTGCCAGATAAGTATTATCTTTATTTAACCATAAGGAAACCGAGGCTTAGAAAGGTTAGACACAATGTCCCTGAGGCCATATAGCCCATATACATGCCCAGCTGTAAGACTCAAATGCCTTCTAGCTCCAATGCCAGCATCTGCTCAGTACTCAGAGGCAGCCCAAGGCAGTAGGGAAAGGTTGGGACCACTTCCAGCTGTATGACTTCTGGTGAGTTACTTAACCTCTCTGTGCCTCGATTTTCCTGAGAGTAAAATGTGGTTGATGACACCCACCTCTTCCGTTCTTGTCAAGATTTAAAAAGATAATACAATGAACTCCTTCGAATGATGTCAAATACAATAATTAGTTAGTTATTATTATACCTTGGCTGATTCTCATTCTCATTAAGTTTTTTAGAATTCATTTTTATATCTCATAATACATTTTCGCCTTTGCTCACCAAGCTCCAAAACCTCATAATACGTTTGATAGGTAGTCATTAAACAAAATAATTTTTTGCAGATTGACTAATGATGGGTTTTAAGGCTGTTCTTTTCTTTCTTTTCTTTTCTTTCTTTCTTTCTTTCTTTTTTTTTTTTTTTTTTTGAGATGGGGTCTCACTCTGTTGCCCAGGCTGGATTGCAGTGGCACAGTCTTTGCTCACTGCAGCCTCAGCCTCCTAGGCTCAAGCAATCCTCCCGCCTCAGTCTCTGAAGTTGCTGGGAAAACAGGCACGCGCCACCCACTCCTGCTAATTTTATTTTTTGTAGAGATGGGGTCTTACTGTGTTGTCTGGGCTTGTTCTTTTTCTTTACTCTTCTACTCCCTTAAAGAGTTTCAACACCAGAGGCTGAGTGCAGTGGCTTACACCTGAAATCTCAGCACTTTGGGAGGCTGAGATGGGAAGATCGCTTGAGGCTAGGAGTTCAAGATCAGCTTGGGCACACACAGTGACATCCCCATCTCAAAAATTAAAAGATAAAAATAAGAGTTTCAACATCAGAAAAATTCTTTTTCTGCTCCACTCTACGTCATCCCTACTCACCCCATGGTCAAATCTGGCCAGTCACAAATGTCCCACAGAAAAACACCAGAAAACACTGACCTAGACTATCCCATTGGGCTGTCCCTGGATAGCAAGAAAACACGCCAGTCACGGGTGGAAACTTTCACAAACCTAATTTCTGTCACTATTATGGGTCAAAGTCTTATGCATATTTCTCTTGCTCTAGTTTTTACTTGAGACTCTAGAAGAAATGGGTTGTTATAAAATAATATCTATTTATTTATTTTGAGATGGAGTATAGCTCTGTCACCCAGGCTGGAGGGCAGTGGCACAATCTTGGCTCACTGCAACCTCCACCTCCCAGATTCAAGCCATTCTCCTGCCTGAGCCTCCTGAGTAGCTGGGACTACAGGTGCTCGCCACCACGCCCAGCTAATTTTTGTATTTTTAGTAGAGATAGGGTTTCACTGTGTTGGCTAGGCTGATCTCGAACTCCTGACTGTGATCCACCTGCCTTGGCCTCCCAAAGTGCTGGGATTACAAGCTTGAGCCCCTGCGCCTGGCCTATTTATTTTCTTACTTCATTTATTTAAAAACAACAATAGGCTGGGTGCCATGGGTCATGTCTATTCTATAGTCCCAGCACTTTGGAAGGCAGAAGCGGGAGGATCGCTAGAGGCCAGGAGTTTGAGACCAATCTGGGCAACACAGTGAGACCCCATCTCTACAAAACTATAAAAATAAAAGGAATATACACACACTGTTTCATGGAGCAAGAAGCCTCATATGACCAGGCAGCTAGCAAATGCACTAACATCCAAGACCGACAGAAAACTTCCTTCTTTTCAGGGGTCCAGTCCATGAAACCAGAGAACAAGCCTCAAACCCAGCTGGATCCTGGGAGGCAGAAGTGAAATGAATGACCACCTGCCACTTCCCTCCTGGGGTAGGATCACCAGGTAGGGGAGACCCCCTGCCTCACACCATTCAGACACACCTGCGTGGGGCCACCTTCTTTTCTCCTTTTTTTTTTTTTTGTAGAGATAGGGTCTCACTGCTTCACACCATTCAGACATACCTGTGCAAGGTTTTCTTTCTTTTTTCTTCCTTTCTTTTTCTTTCTTTCTTTTTTTTTTTTTTTTTTTTGGTTGTTGTTGTAGAGACAGGGTCTCATTTTGTCACCCAGGCTGGAGTGGCACAATCATAGCTCACTGCAGCCTCAACCTCCTGGGCTCAACCTCCTGCCTCAGTCTCTTGAATAGCTGGGACTACAGACATATGCCAACACTAGGTTAATTTAAAAAAAAATTTTTTTGGCCGGGCGCGGTGGCTCAAGCCTGTAATCCCAGCACTTTGGGAGGCCGAGGCGGGTGGAGGATCACGAGGTCGAGAGATCGAGACCATCCTGGTCAACCTGGTGAAACCCCGTCTCTACTAAAAATACAAAAAATTAGCTGGGCGTGGTGGCGCGTGCCTGTAATCCCAGCTACTCAGGAGGCTGAGGCAGGAGAATTGCCTGAACCCAGGAGGCGGAGGTTGCGGTGAGCCGAGATCGCGCCATTGCACTCCAGGCTGGGTAACAAGAGCGAAACTCCGTCTCAAAAAAAAAAAAAAAAAAAAAAAAAACACATTTTTAATAGAGGCAGAATCTCACCGTGTCGCCCAGGCTCATCTCAAACTCCTGGGCTCAAGTAATCCTCCCATCTTGGCCTCCCAAAGTGCAGGGATTATAAGTGTGAGCTACTGCACCCAGCCTATTATTTTATTTTTTGTAGAGACATGGTCTCACTAAGTTGCCCTGGTGTCGGGTAGGGCGGCTCAGGCAAAGATTTTCAGAATAAGAAGAGGATGAAGTTCTCTGGGGGTGGAAAGGTTTATTCTTTGTCGTTTTTGGTTTGGTTTTGTTTTTTTGAGACGGAGTTTTGCTCCTGTTGCCCAGGCTGGAGTGCAGTGGTATAATATCAGCTTCCTGCTACCTTCAACTCCCAGGTTCACGGAACTTTCCTGCCCCAGCCTCCCAAGTAGCTGGGATTACAGTCCTCCGCCGGCTAATTTTTTGTATTTTTAGTAGAGACGGGGTTTCACCATGTTGGCCAGGCTGGTCTCGAACTCCTGACCTCAGGTGATCCACCATCCTAGACCTCCCAAAGTTCTGGGATTATAGACGTGAGGTATCGCGCTCCGCCAAAAGCTTTATTGTTTTTGAAAGATTCCATATACAGAACCCTCAGTCAGAGACTCACATCTTTTCTAACTCAAATCCCAAAGCACTTTCCCTCCAACTGTGTCTGGGGGAAGTATTCCTTACACAACACATCAGGGGCCCAGCCTCTGGCAGTGGGGGACCCAATCGGATCTTCAAAGGTTCCACTCTGAGCGCAAGAGCGTAGAACAAATCTGCCCCTCCAACACTGGCACTGGGATTAAAAGCAGCGTTGTACTCTTTGAAATGGATTTTACATACAAATGAACGGATGAACACCATCAACATGTCAGCTTAATTCAGTCCAATCAATACACCAGGCATTAAAAACTCGGAGGTAAAAATGGATTGTGGCTTTTTGTTGATAACACTGAAGAATTTTGGCCCCGAGCCCTGGTCAGGCAGGACAAATAGGGCAGTCTGCCTAGTAGCTGTCAGGCACATCTTGGCGGATAAAATCAAGAACCCAAGTCAGGGCTGGGGCACCATGGAGCACAGTAGTCTCCACCTTTGCCCCCAAAGTCATTTCCCAGCTTGACCACACTTTGCGTTTCCTGCATTCCTTTTCCCTGCTCCGACCCCTTCGTCCCGGCCTCAGAGCTGACAGCTGGGGCTGGCCAGAGCCAAGCAAGAGGCAACGAGAAAGGGGGATGCTAAGGGGTGCAGGTTGGAAGGGGATGTCAGTGCAACCAAGAAGTGATGGGAGGGGAGGAGAGGTCCCTTCACGCTTCACAGTCCCAGTCCGGCGCCCCGACTCTCCGCCCCCACACTTGAGTCTCCAAGTGGCTCCCGTGCGCTTCCGCCGTTTAGGGGCACCCTTTCCATTCCGCCCCTTTTCAGTTCCTTTCCCCCTCACCTCCCCTTGGGACCCCTGCCGGGTCCCCAGCCGACCAGGCTCCGCTCGGCCGCACGCATCCTGCCTTCTCCTCCGAGCCCGCCCCTGACCCTCCTGCCCTTCTCCCCAAGCCAGCTGGGATACCCTCGGGTCCCCGACATTCCTGGGGTCGCCCAGGTCTGCACGCCAATGTCCCCGCTCACGACCCCCTCGCTCCGTCCTCAACTGCTGCAAGACTACTATTCCCTTCAAAGCCCCTCCCGGACACCGCGTCCCTCAGGGTTCCCCAGGGATGCCCCGGGGTCCCCCGTCCTCACCTGAGTCCGCTCGAAGCTCTCGCGCTCCGCCGCCTCCAGCCCGGCGCCGACCCCGCGCCGGCTCAGCACCTTGGGCAGCGGGTTGGGCACCTGCTTCATGGAGCTGGCCATCCGATCCATGTTGCCGCGAGGAGCCGAGTCCGGAGCCCTCGGCCGCCACGGGATCCCCACGGCGCCGCCCGCCCCGCCCTACCCGCGGGGATCCGGCGTTAACGGGACGGCTCCCGCCTGCCATTGGCTGTGAGTTCTGCCAGTCTTCCTGAGACCCCGCCCCCCGCCGAGAGGCTTCCCCGCCCGCCCCCGCCCCATCAGGAGCCCCTCTGCTGGGTCAGCCCCGACTGGCCCCTCGGGACCCGGAGGCGTGCGGTGACTGGTCTGGAGTGCTGTCAGTCACCGGGGCCCCGCCGTTCGCGGCGGGCCGGGGCGGGGCCTGGACGGGGCGGGGCCCGGGGCGGGCTGCCCTGATCTGCCCTCGCTCGTCCCGCCCCCGCCCGCGCGCCACCCTCTCCTCCCCCCGCCCGCAGTCCCAGCGCTCCCAGAGCGGGCTGCCCTCCGCCCAGCGCCGCCCACTGCCCTGGCTGCTCCTGCTGGGGGTGCCCCGCGAGGGCCCGGGGTGGTAGGCGGGGATCGCGCGGGCTGGGAAGTGGGGCCTCCCCCGGGGGAATCCCGGCCTGTCTGTGAATAGCTCGTTAGCTCCTTCTGGGCCTGGGACCGGGGAGCGCCGGACCAGCTCAGCGGCCGCAGCCCCGAGAACGCAGCCCCGCAGGCTGGCGCAGCGTGGGCGCCTGGCCGGACCCGGCCTCAGTGGGTAGCCGCCTCCACCCAGCCCCCAGGCTTCCCATCCTGCTCATCCCCATCCTGCCCCTGCCCATGCCTTCTGCAAGGATCGCAGAGCCCAGGTCCCGGAGCTCAGGGCTGAGTCCGCGGGCACCTCCCGGGACCTCCCTTCCAAACCTCATCAGATGAACTTATTTGTGGGTAGAAAGCTCCACGGACACTTTGTTTGTCTTAGGCTCAGGCGCGCATCCCATCCTGCTCAGACGTCAGCCAGGGTACCAGCAAGCAGAGAGAAGTGTGATGCTTAGCAGAGACGCTGGAGAAAGTTAAAAGTTTTTGGTTAAATTCCAATTTAGGTATTTTCGTTTGTTTTCATTTGGAGTCAGAATCTCCCTCTGTCGCCCAGGCTGGAGTGCAGATCATAACACATTGCGGCCTTGAGCTCCTCGGCCCTAGCGATTCCTGCCTCGGCCTCTCGAGTAGCTGGGACTACAGGTGCATGCCACCACGCCACCACGCCTGGCTAATTTTTGATTTTTTTTTTTTTTTTTTTTTTTTTTTTGCAGAGATAGTCTATGTTGTCCAGATTGGTCTCGAACTCCTGGCCTCAAGCAAGCCTCCCGCCTTGGCTTCCCAAAGTGCTGCGATTACAGAAGTGAGCCACAGCACCTGGTGTAGATGTATTTTTTTAAAGTTATTTGAAACTCAAAGTAAAGAATGGCACCTTTAGGCATAACAATTTGGTGATTCAAGTGTTTTTTTTTGTTTTGTTTTGTTTTTTTTAATCAGGCAAGGTGGCTCACACTTGTAATCTCAGCACTTTGAGAGGCCGAGTCAGGTGGATTGCTTGAGCTCAGGAGTTTGAAACTAGCATGGGCAACAGAGCAAGACCCCATCTGTACAAAAAATTTTAAAATTAGTTGGGTGTGGTGGTGCAAGCCTGTAGTTCCAGCCACTCGCAGGCAGGAGGACTACTTGAGCCAGGGAGGCAGAGGTCATAGTGAGCAAAGATCGGGCCACTGCCCTCAGGCTGGGAGACAGAGCGAGACCCCATCTCAAAAAACAAACAAACAAACAAAATGACTTCTTTGTAGTGAGAGGAATGTTGCTGGGTTGCCCAGGCTGGTCACGATCTCCTAGGCTCAAGTGATCCTACCACCTCGGCCTCCCAAAGCACTGGGATTACAGGTATGAGCCATCCTGCCCCAGCATTTTTTTTTTTTTTTTTTGGCGGGGGCGGGGGTGGGGGGAGGGATGGAGTCTTGCATTGTTGCGGTACTGGAGTGCAGTGGAGTGATCTCAGCTCACTGCAACCTCCACCTCCTAGGTTCAAGCGATTCTCCTGCCTTAGCCTCCCAAGTAGCTGGGAGTACAGGGGCCGAACACCACGCCCGGCTAATTTTTTGTATTTTTAGTAGAGATGGGTTTCACTGGGTTGGTCAGCTGGTCTCCAACTCCTGATCTCGTGATACGCTCGCCTCAGTCTCCCAAAGCGGGATTACGGGCGTGAGCCACTGCACCTGGCTTTTTTTTTTTTTTTTTTTTAATTAATAAAAGTGTTTGGTAAAAATTCACATCTTCGGTAGAGAAGTGAAACATTTGCAGCCTTCCACTGAAGGCTTTTGTTCAGACATTTGCACTGAGGAACTTACATTGTGGGGATGGATTATGGGGGCCTGATGGAAGGGAGGAAATCAATGGGAAACTCTAACATTGATGAGAGGCTATGAGGTCCTAGAAGAGAAGCCTGAGGAGGAAGTTCTGTCTCATGGGAGGTTACGAAAATAAGACCTGGCCACAGGGATTGGGGATGGGCAATGGCAGTGCCGTTCGGGCTACATCTGCATAGCAAGGACTGAACCGGTTTCACCTTTACTTAGATTGTGTTTATGTGGGAGGCTTTGGGAGTACCCCTCCCCTGGGTTCCTTTGGGAGAGATTAGATGTCTCCTGATTGTGTCAGTGGAGAGAGGGATGACAATTAACAGAGTGAGAGCACGGTAGGGATGCTGACGGAGAGGAAAGGATCTCAGGCCCACGCCTGTCATCTCAGCCCTTCGAGAGGCCCACCGACGCAGGGGGATCATTTGAGGCCTGGAGTTCAAAACTAGCCTGGTCAACATGGTGAAACTCTGTCTACTGAAAATATAAAAATTAGCTGGGTATGGTGGCACGTGCCTGTAATCCCAGCTACTTGGGAGGCTCAGGCAGGAGAGTAACTTGAACCCGGGGAGGTTGAGGCTGGCAGCGAGCGGAGACTGCGCCATTGAAGTCCAGCCTGGGCGACAGAGCGAGACACTGCCTCCAAAAAAAAAAAAAAAAAAAAAAAAAAAAAAAAAATCTCAATTTAATTTTTTTTTATTTATTTAGAGATAGGGTATAGTGACTTCCCACTGTTCCAGCAATCACTGGTGCTTTACCAATTTGCCCATTCTGGTTGATTCCTTTATCACACCTTTGTACACAGCTCCTTCCTCCTTGTTTTTGTTTTTTTTTAGGAGACACTCTTACTCTGCAACCCAGGCTGTAGTGCAGTGGAGCCATCATACCTCACTGCAGCCTCAAACTCTTGGGTTCAAGTGATCCCCCTCCCTCAGCCTCCCAGAACACTGGGCTTATAGACATGAGCCACCAAGCTTGGCCTGACTTCAATTTTGTTTTTATTTATTTATCTTGAGATGGCGTTTCGCTCTTGTCGCCCAGGCTGGAGTGCAATGGCACAATCTTGGCTCACTGCAACTTCTGCCTCCTGGGCTCAAGGGATCCTCCTGCCTCAGCCTCCTAAGGAGCTGGGACTACAGGCGTGCACCACCACACCTGGCTCTTTTTTTTTTTTTTTTTGAGACAGGGTCTTACTCTATTGCCCAGGCTGGAGTATATTTATTTATTTATTTGTATTTATTTATTTATGACGGAGTCTTTCTCTCTGGCCTAGGCTGGAGTGCAGTGGCACCATCTCAGCTCACTGCAGCCTCCGCCTGCCAGGTTCAAGCAATTCTCCTGCCTCAGCCTCCAGAGTAGCTGGGATTACAGGCACCCACCACCACTCCTGGCTAATTTTTGTATTTCAGTAGAGACAGGGTTTCACCACGTTGGCCAGGCTGGTCACGAACTGATGATCCACCCACTGCGGCCTCCCAAACTGCTGGGATTACAAGCCTGCGCCACCACGCTGGGCTCGCTCTCTCGCGCACGCGCTCTCTCTCTCTCTCTCTCTCTCTCTCTCTTTCTCTCCCATACACACACTCCCCATCTACTTTGATTTTCTGCTAGTGTCCTCACTGGCTAAACCCAGTTGGAAGCCAAGGGCAGTGGTGATGTGGTCCATGCTGTCTGCAACCCTTCTTCCAGGCACAGAGCCAGCTAGAGAATGTGGAGAGCTGGGTCTGGAGAGGCAGAGATGTTTAGCGCAGAGGATTCTCAGGGGTGTACCTCCAAGGAAAAACACCAGAGAAGCAGACGAGATGCTTAATAACATTCCCTCTTTGAGCCCATTCTCTGTCTTGTGCCCTCGTCATTCTGTGGACCCAGAGTGATTTATGACCCTTTGCCCAGAGTTTATGCCTTCAATAAACATGGTCCCTTTAAACAGGGATTAAGGGATCAGCCTAGTTCTTAGTAGAATAAAGCAGAAGAGGAATCAGGAATTTGTGGTTTGGAGGCACCCTGTGGGGAAAGGACTCAGCAGAGTCACCTTCCTCTGTGAAACTCGGAGTTAAAACGAAGGATCTCGCACCTCCTTGCCTTAGCAGCAAAACCTTTTGCCAAGAGTTGAAGAAAACCTCTCCCGGGATATAAACTGCAAGCCTCTGTGAGATGCATTTAATTCTGACCTTCTTTCCCAGCAATTTAGGAAACAATTCTTGATGGGGGTAGGCGGGGAACAGGGTCTCACTCTCTCACCCAGGCTGCAGTGCAGTGGCGCAATCACTGCTTTCTACAGCCTCAAACTCCCAAGTATTGCTCAAGCAATCCCCACTCAGCTGGGACTACTGGCGAGTATCACCACGTTCAGCTCATTTATATTTTAATTTTTTGGGGGAAGGGCACAGAGTTTTGCTCTTGTTGCCCAGGCTAGAGAGCAATGGTGTAATCTCAGCTGACTGCAACCTCCACCTCCCAGGTTCAAGCAATTCTCCTGCCTCAGCCTCCTGAGTAGCTGGGATTACAGGCGTGCACCACCATGCCTGGCTAATTTCGTATTTTTGGGAGACAGGGTTTCTCCATGTTGGTCAGGCTGGTCTCAAACTCCTGACCTCAGGTGATATGCCTCCTCTCGGCCTTCCAAAGTGCTGGGATGACAGTCCTGAGCCACCATGCCCAGCTTTTTTTTTTTTTTTTTTTTTTTTTTTTTTGAGACAGAGACTTGCTCCGTCGCCCAGGCTGGAGGGCAGTG